AAAAGGAAAAGAAAAAGGAAAAGAGAAACGGGATGACTTGTTTTGTTCACTACACTTTGAGCATGATATACTAGTGTAACAATGACACATTCTCTTTTAAAAAGAACATTGTTTGGCTCCTTCAAGAATTCATTCTTTCCCTAATCCATGGTCTAGAAACAAAACAAACTCTTCTGCTTGTTAGCTGTGGTCACGAGACTCTCCTCAGTGTTTTCAGCTTGGTTTTCGAATTCATCAGGTTTCCCTCTTTCTTTTTATCTACATTTTTGTGCTTTTAAAGAGAAATCCAAGGGCCTAGCTGAATTTTTTTTAACTAACCCTTAGAATTTGAATGTACAGATAAAGGAGAGTTGCAGAGAGAGAGAGAGTGCTATGGCTCAAGAAATTGAACATTATCTAATGGAACAATTCGAGAATGGTCTTGATGGGAATGACAAAAGTAGTATCTCCAAGATTCCCAGGTACAGCCAATTTCAAGCAATAAAAACAGTGCTTAAAGAAATTTTCGGGTCATCCTCGCTTGTAGATCAACAACTCAGGGACAAGCTATACAACCTCAACAATGCTTTGACTGAGTGCCGGATTCTATCAAGGAAACACGGTTTCTACTCTCCTGAGGAGTTACTCACAATCAACAGAATCAGAATGGAGTTAAAACAGATCAAAAAGGACCTCAAGACTATCATAGGAAACAGTAATAGAGGATCGAATCGGAGCAGTGATGAACAACATGTGAGTAATGTTGATTCCATTAGCTCAAAGGACAGAGAGCTTTTGAGGTGGACAACTCGTTCAGTGGATGCATCCAAGGTGTACGGATTTGACGATGATGTGTTGTCAATGGAAAAGTTGCTTGTCCAACAAGAAAGTCGAGATCGATTCAAGGCAATAGGCGTTGTTGGTAGGGAAGGGATAGGAAAAACAACACTTTGCCAATTGGTATTCAACAAACCAGAGGTGAAAGACAACTTCCTTCCAAGGATCTGGGTGTGCATGGCCAGAGACCCGGACGGTCACGAAGATGAAGATCTGAAAGTAGCAATTGTCAAAAGAATGTTGGTGTACCTTGGA